CCCGGTCCCCGGTCCAGGACGGGGTGACTCGGGAGGGGACCGCGTTTAAAGGGGCCGCCGCCCGCCACCCCGCGAATTGAATCAGTGCCTCTGGAGGCCTCAGCCCGGCACTGCTGGCTTGTTTTTCGTTTTTCTGCATCGGCGATTGGCCCTGCGGGTGCATCACGGACCAGGAAGAGCTTTGGAAGCTGGCTGGCTCCAGTGACCGCCTGCATCTGCTGCTTCCTGCAGCGCCCGGAGCCCGTTCCCAGGCCAGAGTCTGTGTCTGACACTCCTCGCCAGGCAGCTTTGGGCCGCAGTTTCCACTCTAAGATATTTTCTTGCTGATTTCCGAGAGGAAGGGAGAGGGAGAGAGAGACGGAGACATCAGTGATGAGAGAGAATCATGGATCAGCTGCCTCCTGCACGGCCCCTCCTGGGGATGGAGCCCGCAACTCGGGCCTGTGCCCTGCGTGGGAATTAAACTGTGACCTCCTGGTTCATAAGTCCATGCTCAACCACTGAGCCACACTGGCCGGGCACAGTTTCCACTCTTAAGTGAGGTCAGGAGAAGCCAAAACAGGTAATCAACTGAAAGATGCCTGGTGAAACCCGCCCATTCTTCCCAGACCCAGTGTCAGTAGCACCCGCTCTGGGAGGAGGTCAGGCCCGAATGAGAGAGAGACCCAGGGCACCTCTGCCCCTCATGCGGAGAAGGAACAGGTGGGGCTCAGGACTCGGCCCGTTTGTCTCTCATGGGCCTGCTCTGGTTGAGGAGGGTGACCGCCATTCCTCGCGTCCTCACAGCACCTTTGATGACCCGTAATGCTGTTTCTTTAGTTAGTTGTTAATTGGCTCCGCAATTAATCCTCCAAGGTTAGGGAGCTTGTTTAATTCACTGCAAACCCTCCCCCCGCCCCTCACGCCTGGCTCACTGCAGGCAACAGTAACTATTGGTTGGATAAGCGAATAAAGGGGAGCCCCTACTGGGCCCCCCACGGGACTCTCCTGCAGACACCTGGATTTCTCACCTCCAGCTACCCCAAAACCCAAAGGTCATCTTTGACTCCTCCCTCTCTGCACCTGCATCTTCTGCCAATCATTCCATGCCCTTCTTCTTCCTAAATATCTCCCCAACTATTAACTTCCCTCTGGGGCCCACTCCGGCCTTCCTCGGGCTACCGTCCACTCTCACCTGAATTATCGCCATGCCTCCCAACAGGTCTCCCTCCAGCCTCGCCGCCTACAATCTGCCCCTCGTCTCACTGCCAGACGATCTCCCGAAGTAGAGAGGGTAGCCAACCCACCTGCAGGCCCTCAGCTGGAATGCAGGCAGCTCCGGGCACGGGGCTGGGCCTGCTGCCTGGGCAGGCCTCCGTGACGGCAATGCATCCCGCATCCTTTCCAGCCAGTTCTCCAAGCAGAACCTTCGCCCGTGACATTCCTTCTGCAAGGACACCCCACCCTGCTTCCCGCTCTGTGGGCCCCGTGCGACTCCTCAGGACCCTTTCCCCATTCCCCACATCAGGGCTGCTCCACAGAGCCAGGGCTTGGGAGTCAGCCCGGATCCAAACCCCAGGCCTGCAGTGGGGCCACGCCCAGGCTGGCGGGGTCTCACGCCTACAGAGCAGGAGGCGGTGGCGGCCCCCCCCCCGAGGCTGCTCCCCCAGTGGCCTCCAGGAGGCTGGCGCCAGAGCTCTCCCTCCGGTTTCTGTTTCTGCTCCCTGGACAGCGGCAATACCTGGCAACTCGGTCTCTCCAGGCGTAAGGCCTTCTTCTCACGTCCAGCCCATGTTCCGGACAGACAGACACACAGACAGGTCTTCACTCACGCTGGTCGGTCGTCCGTTCTCCCCCACATCTACCCAGGTACCACCTTTCCATGAAGCCTTTCTGCACGCACACACACCAGGCCATGTGGCTGCTGCCGAGCCCTGGCTTCTGGGCCTGCCTGTCATCGGGGTTATTGACGTGTTTTAAACTAAAGACAGTCACTCAGAGACCTCACCGGGCCCTCGCCAGCACCGGGCGCCACAGACTGGTGGTCACAGCCAGCACGGGCAGGCAGAGTGGACACGGGTAACTGCTGTATACAGTAGATGCCACCCTCTCTCACGTGTCCTCCCAGGGAGAGAGAGAATGTGTGTGTGTGTGTGTGTGTGTGTGTGTGTGTGTGTGCGCGCACGCGCAAGCGCACTGTGACACCGTAGCGTCTGTGCACCTTCTGAGCCTCGCTCCCTGACTTACACCTAACAGCGTGGCGCCGTTACCCATCAGGACACAGAAGCCAGCCTGGTGCTCTGTGACGGTTACATGATGTTTCATTAGGCGGATGCATGCAGGGGTTCACGGCGCCCGCTTACCTGGCCGGGGATTAGGTTGTTTCCAGCTTGCCAGGCAAAGTGTCGACACATCCTTTGTCCACATTCGAGAGTAACTACAGCGTCACTTCCTATTGGAATAGCTGGGTCACCTGCACTTGTATTTCTTTTCTTTATTTTTTGGTTTTTGGTAAATTTTAGTGGAAGTTCAGGCTAGCTACAGGAAAGTGCACACTCAGTGAACTTTCACAGGCCAACCCCTTGCCGCCAGCCCCCAGGTGGAGAAACGGTATCAGCAGAGTCTGAGCCCCTCCACGACCCCTTCCAGGATAGCCTCCTCCCGGCTCCTCACGCCGTGGACTCTGCTGGCACGTGCAACACTTGTGCAAAGAGCAGCACACGGCGCCCTCTCTGTTGGGGCTGGTGTAGAGTTGCGTTTGGTCGGGATTTATTTGTTCTTGTTGCTGAAGGACACACACAGAACACACAGTGGACCGGCCCGTTCTTCTCTTGATGGCCATCAGGACTGTTTCCGACCTGGGCTGTTCTGAATGAAGCGCTGTGAGAACTCTGACACACGGGCATGTGCCTTTTTAAAATTAAATATATTGTTATTGATGTCAGAGAGGAAGGGAGAGGGAGAGAGAGACACATCCGTGATGAGAATCATTGATCGGCTGCCTCCTGCACGCCCCCTACTGGGGATCGAGGCTGCAACCCGGGCATGTCCCCTTGACTGGGAATTGAACCAGAGACCATCGAATCCACAGGCCGATCGATGCTCTATCCACTGAGCAACACCGGCCAGGGCGGTATGTGCATTTTTAACTTAGAAAGATTGTCAAATTGTCCTCCAAACGTGCTTTTGTGCCCTGGATCCACCAGCAAGGCTGCAAAGCCAGTTCCATCTGTTCACTAATGTGGGCCTTCTTGAGCCTTCGGACCTTTGCCCAGCTCAGTGGAAAAAACCCTGAGAATTCATAATATTGTTTTGTATTTCTTTGACGGAGTTTACTTGAGAATCACCGTATGTAAAAGCCATCCTGCTTTCCCTCCTGTGAGCTGTGGGGGGGCTTAAAGGACAGCACAGGAGCTTGAGCATGTCCAGCTGCTGAAGGGAAGGGTCATGCGGACAAATGAGTGATGCAGGAAGGGGGAGCAGCCGCCGGCGGAGAGGCGTGGCAGTGCGTGTTGCGGGCGGGGGGGCACCCACAGGGAAGCTGGCCTGGGCAGCAGGGCGGACCTGCTTCCCCGGAGAGCGGGAGGGAAGAGAGAGGCCTGAGATCCAGGAAGGTTTTGGGATACAGAGCGGAGAAGGTCATGCGAGACCCACCTTCTTGGTGACACAGGCAGACAGCCCTCTGCGGGGCTGGGGGGCCCGTGAGGGAGGAATAGACTAGAAAGAACATGTTAAGGCGACTGCCCGGCCACCCTGCGGGAGCTGGCGGAGGCCGGCGGTGGCTTCCCCGGGAGAGTCGCTGGAGCCGGTGTTAAGGGACAAGTAGGAGGTGGCCCTCCAGAGAATGGAGATGACATTTCGGTGTGGACTCCCCACCGCCCCGCCTTCGCATACACAGTGAGTGCCGGGGGGATGAGATAAGGCCGGGAAGGGACCATGAGCGCATCGGGCCGCATCCTAACTTGAGCGGCAGCCCCCAAGGGCGGGACCCCCAGAACTTCCGACCCCTTGGGTCCCACACGGAGCCTGTGCATTGGCGTTTCCACCACGTTCCCAGGCGTCGCTGACATGGCTGGGCCGGGACCATGCTGTGAGCACCCCGGGGTTGGTCTAACGCCCTGGTTTTGTGGAAACAGACCCGGAGAACAGAGGCAACCGCCCCAGCCACCCTCGGAGAGGGAGCGAGAGAGCCCGGGACGCACGCCTCCCGACGGCGCCCCACTCGGGCCTCCACCAGGTTACAAGGCCACCTGGACGGATGCCCCAGGGCCACTGTCCCCAGGTCAGCCCAGGAGAACCCCTTCGGAGGCCAGTGGGCACTGGGCCACGGCACGCACCACCTGCGGGCTCCCCCCGGTGACCCAGTTTGGCGCTGGAAGCAGCCCAGCCGGGCAGCCGGGCAGCAGTGCCAGCCGGGCAGCAGCTCAAGGCATTGGCAGAGCGGCCAGTGAAGATATGTCTCACATGGGCCACGTGTGGGCCCCACAGGGGCCTGAGCCAGGATCTGTCAGGACCCTGCTCCTCGCTCCCTGTGGTCCCACGCTGGCCAGCCCCCGGTGACCCAGTTTGGCGCTGGAAGCAGCCCAGCCGGGCAGCCGGGCAGCAGTGCCAGCCGGGCAGCAGCTCAAGGCATTGGCAGAGCGGCCAGTGAAGATATGTCTCACATGGGCCACGTGTGGGCCCCACAGGGGCCTGAGCCAGGATCTGTCAGGACCCTGCTCCTCGCTCCCTGTGGTCCCACGCTGGCCAGCCCCTGACTCAGCACAGAAATGGGTTTTAACCCTCAAAGATGCCAGCCCCCAGCACAGAGCTGAGCACAGTAGGACCCGAGGAGCCACCAGCTTCGCCCTGAACAATACGAATATAAACAAGTGGGTCGTCTTAGCTACATTATCGCGAACACTGCGCCAGACTCTGTTGACATTTTCCCATGACCTCGTTTAACTTTTACGTAGACTTTGCACTCATCACCCCCCCAGGTTACAGAGGGGGACGTTGAGGCCGGGGAGGGGTGAGGAGCTGGCCCGGTCAGGCTTGAATTGGCTGTTGGGGTTTTTAGGTCACACGTGTGTGCCATGCCGTCCACCTCACACTGTGGCTTGCTGTTCACCCAGCATGTCTTGCCCAGGCCCCAGGGACAGCCCGGGTCTGTGAGTCTCAGACCCTCCGGGAGCCCCCCAGCATCCTGAATTCTCAGCGTCCTCCACTTGCCGAGTTGTTCCCAGAGCTACAGATGGTGTCTGTACCACGGGGCACCTACAGGCAACCCAATGTCCCCGCCTGGGCAGGGCTTTTGTGCCTGGACTGGGCCCAATCTCCCCCTTGTGTTGGCCTGTGTGTGTGGTGTTTTGTGTGGTGTTGTTGTGTGTGGCGTGTATGTGGTATGTATGTGTTTTGTGTGTGTATGTGCTGTGTGGTGTATGTGTGTTTATATTTATGCTGGGGAAGAGGGAGCAGCAGAGACACGCCCCCCCCACCCCCCCCCGTGGGACTGTATGACATGGGCAGCCCCGGCTGTGACCTGGGCAGGGGCAGGGGTTGGAGCCCCTCAGGTCACGGGGCAGCACCCCACACTGGAGTACGGAAGCGCAGTGTTCACGGCCAGGCTGGGCGGTCCCAGGCCCTTAGAGAGCACAGGCCCTCGGGGACTGCCAGGGATTGGGGGCCCACGGGCATCTGCTGGGACCCCAGGCTGGCTCAGGCTCCATGGGTTGCCTTATCTGCACTCTGCCAGGGACAGGCTGGCCCTGGGCAGGGCTGTGCCACAGCCACGATGGAACTTCTTCCTCTCCAGGGACACCTCAGCTTTGCAAGGCCTTTCCCGGTTGGATGGGCCCCCTACCTTCTGGAGGGAGATGTGACCTCCAGTCCCTGACGGCAGGCGTTAACCCGGACAAAGTCCTCCCCAGCAGCCCCTAGCGCCGTGCCTGCCTGCACACCTGGGGGCGGGGCTGGCCCAGCGACGGTAAAACTGACGGTCACACATGGGGGAGGGGCTGTCAGTCAGTCAGCTCCTGATGTGCTGGGGGCACGGCGAGGCCTGTCTCAGCCCGAGACCACCCTTCCCGGGCACCACAGCCTCAGCCCTGCCATCGCCCTCAGTGCCCTGGCTGCTCTGGCACCTCACTCTCACTCTTCTGGCTGCATGCAGGGGAGGCGGGGGGCGGGGGGCTGCAGAGCAGGCTCCGGTCCGGGGCCTCAGAGAGACACATGCCCCCACTCCTTCCACTCAGGACGCTGGAGGCCCTCGGATCAGGCCCGGCTGGGCTCAGGGCGTGCACTGGCCTGGGGATGCCTGGGTTTGCCCAACTGGGAGCAGCAGCTCCGCTCACAAGCCCAGGGTCCTGGACCTGCACTTCAGAGGAAGAGGAAGAGGAAGAGGAAGAGGAAGAGGAAGAGGAAGAGGAAGAGGAAGAGGACAGGGCGTGGGGCGCCTCCACAGCCCTTTTCTGCCACAGCTGTCCTGCAGGTAAGGCTGGGCAGCAACCAACCGAAACCGAAACTCCCCCGAAAGAATGCCCAGCCCTGCACGCCCCTGCCCGAGGGCGCACCTGTCTCAGCAGCTGGCCTTCCTCTGCAGCTGCCAGGAGCCCAGCAGGCGGGAGGGGCGCAGGGGTGGGGCTGGGGGTAGGGGGGTCTGGGCCCTCAGAGGCTGACTGCGCATCTCCCCCCCACCACGCACTTATGTCCCATGTGGCTTGAAGTCAGCGGCCATGGGGATGCTCCCTCCACAGCGACAGCAGAGCCTTCGTTTGGGGGTTTGCTTGGAAGGGTCAGGCCCCCGTGGCCTCTCCTCCGTGGGCTCACAGCACAGCAGTGAGGGGCCTGGAGGCTGACTCGGGGGTCAGTCCCCGGCTGGGAGGGGTCTGAGGGCAGGTTCCACCACCTGGGCCCCTGGTTCTTCCTGGGCTCAGGTCTGTTCAGTAACGGAGCGCAGCAGCACGCGCGCACACACATACACATGTGCACACACGGGCACACACAGGTGTCCTGCAGTCTTCAGGTGGCCATGCCCTGAGTGCTCGTGGATCTGGGTTCAGAGCAAGTCCCAGGGGCCTCTAGCTTCCTAGTCTCAGGCACAGCCCCTGGGGAGTGGCCCAGGGCTCCTGGGTTGGGGGCCCTCAGATCTGTCACACGCCTCCTTCGGTCCCAGCAGCTGCTGGGGAGGCGAGGTGGATCCTCTCAAGGTGACCCCTGCGGACACGGTCTCACCACCTTGAGCAGAGGACCAGGCACCAGGGGAGACGCCGAGGAACTAGTGGGACCCGCATGGCATCAGCTCTGCGTGTGGGGGGCAGGGGGAGGGGACACAGTCGTTTCCGGGGGCAGGTCCAGGTCATCTTAAAAACTTTAAAACAGCATCACTGAGGCATAATACATAGACTGCAGGCATTTAAAGTTACAGTTTAAGTCTGACGCATGTGTACACCCATGAAACTACCGTCACAATCAAGATAAACATCTCCATCACCCACCCCTCCCGGGCCCACCCCAGTCCCAGGCAATCACTGTTTGTTCTGTGTTTTGTTTTCTTTTTAATAACAATGACTTTCTTTGTAACGTCAGCATCACGTTAAAACAACAGAAGCCACTGGCAGCAGCAGGATTGTTGGAACTGTGAATTGGCCCCGTTAATACTTCCCTTCGTGATTGGGATTTTGTGGGTGTCCAACATGGCATTTCCCAGGAGTATGGACATAATGCTGCACCCAAGACCACACGCTCCGTTTGCTGAAATCCAAGCCTCACTTCCTCCCAGGGTTTTTCTGGATTACTTTGTATTTTCTAGAGTTTTATATGAATGGAGTCAGACAGTATTTTGTCTTTTTCATGTGGCTTCTTCAACTCAGCACCATTATTTTGTGATTTATCCATGTTTTGCGTGTGTCAATACAGACGCTACAGAATCCATTCAGGAAAGTCACCGAGCAGACAACAAACCCGGGAAGGAGAGTGGACTGACTTCTGGAATAGCCACGTTCCATTGTGTACAATGTTCAGTTTCAACAACAAAAAGAAACAGACAAGTATGGCCCATAGACAAAGGAAACAAAACCAGTAGAAACTGTTCCTGACACTGGACTTACTAGACAAGGACTTTAAACCAGTTATTTCCAATCTGTTATGAGGTCAGTTCACAGACATAAAGGGAACTGTGTCTAGAGAACTAGAGCATGAGAGTGATGTCTCCCCACACAATGCCCCTGGGTGCTGGGGGCTGGCCCAGGCCTCTGTGCCCTCACAGCCTCTCAGAGCTGCCCGGGCATGGCTGCCACTACAAGTCAGGGCTAGGGGTTGGGGGGCCCCTAGATGCCCCTCAACCCCAGAGGGAGCTGGAAGGAAGGCAGCAGCCAGCCAGGCCTCTGAGCGGGGCACACTCTGCTAGAGGAGAGTCTGCACAAGAATGAAAGTGGAGAAGGGAGTCGGCTCCTGGGAGTGGGTGGAACTGGGAGGAACACCCTGTCCTCAGGCAGCCAATGCCCTGCGGCCCTGGGACGGCTTCCAGGCGGCCAGCTCGGCCTCTGCTGCTGTGTGATCTGGGGCAGCCACGGAGCCTCTCTGAGCCATTGGCTTTTTTTGAAGGGGAGATAATGACCCCAGCCCTCCCACTTCACATGGCGAATCACAAGAGCAGAACCTCCTCTCCCACGGCTTCTCCCCAGGGTCCTCCTGAAGAGGGGCCCCCCCACTCCAGTCCTGCATGGCTTGCGGGATGTTTGCTTACTCTGATCACAGCCGACAGGAACCAGAGCTGAAGGGCTCCGTGTGGCACCTGGTAACTGGCCTGTGTGGCTGCCAGGCTCACCTCGTGCTCCCTCTGCAGCCGAGGGACAAGGCGTCCACGGCCCCGCTCTGTTCTGGGACACGGACGGGGGAGGGGGAGACAGGGAAACCTGGCCTCTGGAAGTGGGGGTGCAGCATGAGCCCGGCTGGCTCCGTGCCCACACGGAGGGAGGCCAGGAGCGCCGTGTCCACCTGGGCCACCCTCCCTGCACGACTGAGTCTAAGCTCTGGGCAATCAGGCCCCCAACATCGCCCAGCTTGGGAATAGGGTCACCCCCAGACGCTGCCCAGAGCTGGGGAGCTGGACAGGCGGCCTGCACCCCACCCCCAAAAGGAGCACTCTTTGACCTTGGGCTCAGATACCCCAGTCAGGAGGGGAGGGCGACTGGGCTCCCAGGCCCCCAGCCGTTCCCAGGGGCCTCAGACAGGAGAGAGCAAGTCTGCGTCTTAGTGTGAGAACAAACATTTTTATCAGGATTCACTTTTCTAGAGTCGTTTTAGGTTCATAGAGAAGCACAGTCTACACCCCGCGGCCCCCACCCGTGCACAGCCTCCCCCAGGAGCACCC